CATCAGCAGAGCATTTAGTAAATAACTTCTGTTATTGAGCAATTCACAAAACACTTTGGCATAAAAAGTTCCCCATTTGGAAGTCTTTTTGCTTAGATGTATAAATAGTTACAATGGTTACAAGTGCCACAAGTAAAAGTACCGCTCAATGGAGACATATCCATGTTTTTTCAGTTTCATAATAAGTGTGTGCCAATTAATCTTTTCATTGGCACACAGACGCGCCGGGCAAATCACACGGGTTTCCCGACGCGATTCCGCCTCCGTGCTTTACTTGTACCTTTTTTCTGCAATACACAACCCGCGACTGTTTTAGCCGCACTCGTAAAATAGCCGCGTGTCGTGTATCGCAGAAAAAAAGGTACCCGTACAGAAGCGCAACTGGGGTGCCATTGGAAAATAATGGCACCCACAGCACAATCGGTGCACATCTATTCGAGTCTGGACCGTGCGGCAATCATGCACGGTTGCCGCGTGGTGGGGTGTCCCATAGGAGTGTACCCGCCCTAAAGGTGATGTCAGGAGTTTTTTTTAAGACCTGTCCCAAAATGGGGTGATTCTTAAAGGAGAACTATGGGGTCAGGGCTTTTCCTCATAGTTCTCCTAAGGGTAACGGGAGAACACAAACTAGCGTGTGTGTCCCCCCCCCCCCCCCCGCCACCCAAAGCTCAGTATATAGAGAGCTACAGCTCGCGGTATACTGAGACGCCGCAGCCGGAACGGATCCCGACAATTCTGTCTGGATCCACCCAGCTGCGTGAGTGACAGCTGGCTCTGCCTATCTAGAGGCAGAGCCAGCTGTACCCGCCCCCTTCCCCGTCCGTTCCGCCAGTCAGCGCTCCAGAATCCAGTCCCTCCCCTGTCACGGCTCACATGCAGGGATAGATCGTGAAGTGAGCGAGCGCCGGTATGTGTTCCCTCACTTCCCGATCTACTGAGCCGACCTGTGACAGTTTCTTTGTCACAGGTCGGCTCAGATTATGAGGCTGAGGGAAAATTCGGATTCGGATGCATTGAGGTTCGGAAATTCGGATGTGTCCGGAGGTTCGAATTTTGGAAAATTCGTCCGAATTTTGATTCAGAACGAAACCAATCGCACGTCTCTAATTGTAACTTGTTGCCCAGATATCTTCTCACCCCATCATCATCCCTCAATATTTTATCGCCCATTTTTTTTATATTGAAGATGTTTCATAATAACAAGGTATCCTCGTCCCTTATCTGAGGGTTTAATGATACCGATCTCGAGGTTTAATCAATTCCTGAATCTGCTAATCGTGTTTTCGTGACAGTCTTCCTTCATTTTCTGAAATCTAATTTCCTCATTTATTACTTCCTGAACAAAACAGAAGACGTCCGAGCTTGCCTGAAAAGAAGAAAAGGTTTCACTCTCAGGCCTCATTCACACGAGAAACGGCCGGCGCGTACAGCTCCGCGCTGCGTGCCGGGCCGTATCGGGCAGCTCCCGGGAAAGACAAGTGCTGCGTGTGATTAGTACGCAGCCCCTTTCCTTATCTATGGGACTACGCGGCCGTACGCCGCCCTACGCTCACCTGCCCTGCATGTCGGTGGGGGTGTCCGTACTTGTACGCTGACATGATGGACACACGAACCCGTACGGACCTTCATTTGGGGTCAGCGTGCGGCCGTGTACTCCCATAGAGAAGGAAGGGCTGCGTATTAATCACATGCAGCACCTGTCCTTCCCGGGAGCTGCCCGATACGGCCCGGCACGCAGCACGGGGCTGTACATGCCGGCCGATTACAGTGTGAATGAGGCCTTAGGATAATGTTTAGATGTTTAGCTCTCTGTTGTAGTTTCATCTCCTGTATCATCAAATTCTTTTTTTTTTTTACATCTCCTCCCCCACATACTCCCACAACCCCCCCAATTTAATAATTCAAGTAGAACTGAAGCCAATTCTTTTTTTCTTCCAGTTTTGGATAGAGTAAAGGAAGCTTATAACCCCTGCAAGATTTTTTTTTTTGACCATCTGTGAGATTTCCCTTCACTTCCTGTGCGATTACCACAACAGGAAGTGAGAAGCAATCCCTCCAAAGTAAGGGGAATCCCCGAGGCGCGTTCAGTTCCTTAGCCAAGTTGCTGAGTAGCTGTTCTGCAGCACTTCAGTTTGATGCAGCAGCTTCACCTAATGCTTCGGCTGCACAGTGCTCAGCAAAATGGCGGAGGATAATATTTTAGGTACTGATAAATACCATTTTCCAACAAATATTTGTTGCGCTCGCCCACCAAAACATTCAATTGTAGGTCCCCGCGCTGTATTAATTCTCTCCCATTGGGTTTCAGGCACCTTTCTCCAGCGCTGCCAGGCGTGCCCACAGTTAAAATGGCCGCTGGTGCTCTGTCCCCACCTTCCCCGTAACACTCAGAGCTCTGCATCCACATTCACTTCTGCGGCGAGTGGCTTGCAGCACAGCGTTCAGCTGCGGTTTATTAACTCGCCACTCGCAGCGGCTGAGCAACTGAGCGCGCCTCTCACGAATTCATATGTATCAATGTTTTTCTCTAGGCAGACATTTAAACCGGTATATTTAATAATGATCTTTATTATCCACAGCCAGCGCTGTAGAGGGTTCGGTCCCAACCTGAGCTCATCACTATAATGAAATCCATTGCAGGTCTTCCATTTATCCAATCACACTACCAGGGCCGTTCATGAAATGAGGCAGCCTGAGGGCCATAATGGGTGGCAGGCAGAGCGGCCTAGGATGCCTCTTTCCGGCCACAGCATCCCAGGTTACTCTTAGCAACCTGGGGCTCTCTGGCCGGTGTTCCGCCCAGCTCTTGGCAACCAGTGACGTCACTGGTTACCGGGAGCTAGCTGGCCAGGGCATTATGGTCAGCTCCAGTAAACCAGAAATGTCACTGGTTGCCAAGAGCTGGGCGAGACGCCTGTCAGAGAGCCCCAGGTTGCCACCAGGGCTGTCCTTACAATGGTGCAGCTTGAGGATCATGTGGGGGGCAGAGCTGCCTGGGAAACCCCCCTTTCCGGCCAGAGCTTCCCAGGTTGCTAAGAGCTAACAGCAACAGGGGGCCGTCCATGCCCCCCTCTTGGCAACCAGTGACATTTCTGGTTGCCAGGAGCTGAGCGAGACGCCGGTAAGAGAGTCCCAGGTT